ATAGTAGGTTATATCATTAAAGAAATAAAGTTATTCGAGTTCTTTGAATACTATATTTCAATTGTAACTTTCTCAGATATGTTATACCATTATTTGAACATAGGAGTGCTGGTAAGAGATAATGTTCCAATTCGGATTAAAAAACTTGGTTTGATTTAGGATTGAATTGAAACTAACTGAATTCGAAATTTTAGATTGAATCTAAAGCCAATCCTAAGTATTTAATAGCTAAATATTTTAGCATAATCAGCTTGAAATCTATATATTAGTGCAATATAAAAAAAAAAAAACTAGACCCAAATCTCAAAATTAGACTTAATCTGGGCAATCCGAAACTTTGGCCCAAACAATTTTACAGTTCGGATTGGATGATAATCCGAATCCGTCAAATCCGGATTATTCAGAATGCTAGTAAGGGAAACTTCAGACTTTAAAATTTATTGGATTCATTCTATAAAAAATTTGTTTAGTAATATACTATATATTACTATCAAATTTTTTAAGTGACTGAATTCGACAAATAATAAATGATAAAAAAGCCCAAAGTCTCATCTTTTCTTGGCAATATTCATATAAAACTACGGATTTGAAACAATTTGCTAAAGCTAAGTAAAATTTTAGAATAATTCTATTAGATAATTGTTTAAATATCAATTACATACCCAGCCATCTTTCAATACTAATTTCCTGCTTCTGCTCCTTCTTTTAAGCTGACGATGACATTTAATTCATTGTCTTTTGTATTTAAAGATTGTCACTTCCTTGCGGTCTATACTCAATTATAGCAATTGTATCATTTTCAAAAAGTTTCTGATACTTTTTTTTCAACCAATCCGATTGTTTATGAACTTTTCTTCGGTACCACCAAAGTCAAACGTTTGAATGATTCGAATTTGACTTAATTAATTTAATTTAAAGGGTTTAATGCCATTAAATATAATCTGAATAAAAGAATTTGTGAAAGATTAGTTAATGATCTAGATAAATTATTTTCTGCATGATATTCGGTATTAGGTTCTAAAAGAAAAAAATACTACCTTGACAGGATTAGTTAAACATGAATTTTTCAATATCGAAAATGACCTTTCTGTAATAATCGATCTTTGTTGTAATATGGCTTTTGACCTGCAAGATAACAGGTAAAAAGCACATGTAGCAGTATTCATCTTTTTTTTTTACAGTTGATCTACTAAAACTTCAGGTACAATATACAGTAAAATTTCACAAAATTTTCTTTTACTTTTCTAGAAAGACCAAGGTCTGTAATATACGTGTCATGCAATGCAAAGATTTATGAAATATTTCCACTGTATAAATCTCTGTGAACAAGTTTCTGTGAATGAATTGGCTTGAAAAAATTTGAAAAATTTTTTTTGATGATAAATACATGACAAAAAAAGAGTAAATGACATTAAGTAATAATGTCTAATAAACTTACCCATTACTACTGCGTTTATTCTTACAAAGTACATCTCTCATACTCTTCATAATCTGGCCCAAGTCTATTCTCTATAAGTTTTCAAGAAGTCAGTGAAGTGTTCTTGCAAAGTGCATTCGCTCTTGCTTTTCCACTGTCTAATCCAATCTAAGATTTTAAGACATCGGAGAAGTGTTTCTGTAAAGTGCTTCTGCTAACTCTTTTCTGCCTTTTGATCTGGAGTTATTCTCTAAGATCCAAGAAAATTAGTGAGATGTTCTTGCAAAGTGCATCTGCTCATTCTATCTCACTACTTGTTTTAAGTTTATCTTTTTCACCATGATTCAGTTTTCTTCTTAGAGATTCGAAGTTAGTAAGTGTTCCAAAAGGTAATGAAGTGTCTTGCAAAGTGCTTTTAATACCACTTTTTCAACTTCTAATCTGAGCTAATTCTTAAAGATCCAAAGAGATATTCTAGCAAGGTGTATTTGTTAGCTTCTGATCTAAGATTTTATACCATATGGGTTTAATATTTTACTGTAAATTATAAAAAAAAAAACTTTAAAAAAACTTTAAAAAAAAAAACTTAATAATAGAAAAAAACTTAGAAAAAAAATGAATGATAAAAAGCTTGTGAAGATTTTAAGGATGACCTCCTTAAAGTTTGAGTTGATGATCAAGCCACTGCCGTAGCAATAGATCATCAAGCCCTCTTATCGGGTTAGCGTTGTACATACAGATCGATAAGAAATTAATCTCTGTAGCTGTAACAGTAATATCAATCATCAATTCAAGCTTTGGAGGGGCCGCCTTGGAGACAATCATATAATATAAAATAGCTAGAAATTTTATATATTGCAGATTGTTTAAAAAAAAAGCAAGTATATCACCCAAAGATTTTATATCTGCTTTTACCTGAATTTTACCTGAATCTCTCCTGACTATATGGTGAATTTTTCCTGATTACATGCCGAATTGCACCAACAATCGACATAAATCGGGACTAATTATTTTAGAATTTTATACAAATTGGGTTGCTGCATAAATTTGTATCAATCAGGGCTATGCCGAATTTATAATTTAATAACAATCGGGTATATATCAGTTTAAAATAAAACATATGCCTGATTTTTTTTACTTTGACTAGTGTTAAATGCTGGACTCATTGTAAAAAAAATTATCTTAATAAAATTTTGAGTAGTTTTAATTTGAAAAAATGGTCAAAATTGTTCAAAATTGTCCCATATACAATACTGCTTTATGCTATATTTCGAAAAATAAAACTGCTGTTTAAAATAATTAACTTCATTGTAAAGCTTTTTAACAAAAGAAGAGTTAAAATAATTACTAATTTTAGACTAACTAACAATTTCAAAGCAAGTGATGAAATTGAGCAAGAAGAGACAATATCTTCATTAGTATGGAGAATTTTTTATAATCCTTTATTAAGAAAAATTTAAGACAATAAGAAGCTCAGTTATTTAATAAACATATATAAAGTAGTTGATTTGCAGTTAAACATAACAAGAAAAGAGTCAATGAGGCAAACAGTAGTGGCTTTTGCTAATAACATTATGTAGGTTGCAGGAAGCAAAAATCAAGTTGAACAGATAGTCCAGACAGCACAACAGTTCTTCAAATTTAATAATATACAAATAAACAAATCAAAATCAAAGCTATTGGTCTATAATACTAGCTTGAACAAAAGTAAAAGATAAATTGAAGTGAATGGTTATAGAGTGCAGACTAAAGAAAGAAAATCATTAACACACCTGTTTGGGGTTTGGATAGATATAGAGTCAAGTGAAAGCCTATTAGTTAAAAAAGCAAAGAGTATTATAGAGCAGTTTGTAAGAATGTTGCAATTTAAAAGTTTATTGATTAGTTAGTTGATTTATATAAACAATATGTGTATTGTGCCAAAGCTAATATATATATTACAATTAACCAAGATCTTAAATACAAGTTTCGACAGAATCTATCAACTCATAATGCAAATTATCAAGAACAAGATTGAACTCTTGACAATAGCAAGCAACTACATAGTTATACATCAGAGGCTTGATAAATGCAAAACCCTTAGTCAAGAAATCTTTAGCAAACAATTAGTTAGCTTGCAGAATAGATTAAATAGCTGTAATCAAGTAGACAAGCTAATATAAATAAGATTAAATGAGAGGTTTGCATTAGCAAGACTTGTAAAAGAAAGCTGGCATATGTGGTGCGTAAAAAGGTTTGGAAAAATAATCTAGTAAGCCTAATTTTATTAAAGGTAAATGATTTGAAGATTTTAGTTATAGTCAAACCTCCATAAATACAACCTTCATAAATGCAATATCTCTCTAAATACACGTTTCTGGCCTGGCTGTAAGAAATCATTAGTGCTAAATACACGTTCTATATTCTGCAAATGCACGTTCACTTAAAAGATTTTCTATATCATACTAACCTCTCTAAATGCACGTAGCCAATCAGAATCCAGTATTCAAGTTGTGTTATACAAGCCTGCAGATCAAATATTAAAAGCTGCAATTTGATTGGCTTTCTCTAAATGCAAACCTCTCTAAATGCACGATTGAAGCTAGTTTGTATGCAGTGCACTTATAGAGGTTTGACTATAATGCAAATATAGAAAAATGGCAAATTCTTGAAACAAATCTCACGATTTTAGAAGTTTTAGAAGAGGAAGTTTTTAGCAAACACTATAATATTATTAATTTGTTCTATATCAACTAGCTAATTAACAAGCCCAGTACAGAGATATTAATTTGAACCAAATTTTAGGCCTTGCAAGCAAATTTATTTAAAAGACAAAAAGCAAGATAGTTTAGAGCTATTGAAAATAAGATTATTAGTATTAAATCAAGTAGAGAAGTACCATAGGTTTCCGAAAATAAGCTACCTCCAAAAATAAGCTACCCCCTCTTTTCTTTGAGAAGAAATATAAGAAAAATCTTTATTTCGAAAATAAACTACTCTCGAAAATTTTCAAAATTTGGAAGTAGTTTCTATATATAAAAGTCAAAATTCTATTAAGTAAATCAATAAAAGTCACTTAATAGGAGTTGTTCAGGACGTAAAAATACACATATTCTAAAAGTTTGAAGCAAATCGGTGAACTTTTTACTAAGATGTTTTTGCATTTTACGTTTTAATATAAAATATAAAAAAGTTTTCTGATTTGTTTAAAACTTTCAGAATATGTGTATTTTTACGCCCTGAACAACTCCTATTAAGTGACTTTCATCGATTTACTTAATAAAATTTTGACTTTTATATATAGAAACTACTTCTGGATTTTAAGAAATTATTAAAGGTAGCTTATTTTTGAAATAACAAATTTTCTTATGTTTCTTCTCCAAGAAAAAAGGGGGTAGCTTATTTTCAGAGATGGCTTATTTTCAGCAATATACGGTATATCAAATTTAACTGGTTATCATTTTTGGCAGAATTAGTTTAAAAAATATAAAACTAAATTAAAAAATAAATATAACTTAATAACAAAAATAAAGGGTTAGGATCTTATAGTCTAGTAGTCTGGGCATCTAACTCTTTACAGACAAGGTTGATAATTCGATTATAGCTGGTGGTAATTAATTTAATTAATTATCTTTGTAATCTTTATGAGCTTTCAAATATGAAACCCTGTAGCAGTAAGACCATGTGATATATATATTTGGCTGATAAAGAATTCTTGAACGGAGCTCTAAGCTATGAAGAAGACTGGGCACTGTGTGTGACATGGGTTATAAAAGATATTACTGCAGAAGGCTGTGTATATAAATTCACAATTGGCAAGGTAGCACCAACAACTCTAAGGCAGTATTGGGATCTTGATTAGGAGAATGGCTAAATATGGTATATCTAAAAGTGATAAGAGAAGCAGTGAATATAGTAAGAAGCTGTGGTAAGAGAATAGCTTTACCAAATATAGAACACTTTTGGCACAAGAGAACAAAGAAAACTGGCTAAAAGAAATTCTAAAAAGTATAGAAGCAGGCAATCTGGTAGTATGAAAATAAAAACAGGCTAGAGAGTAATAGTCGCACAGCCTATATAGGAGTCTATGATGAAATATGGCAAAGACGCAAGTCCCAGGTTACTGGATTATAATAGTAATTAAATAAGATACTTAACTCCCATTCAAAGGATCCAAACCCCTGTATCACTATACCAATAGGAAGTACTATAGAAGGATCAGTAGCCTAATTTGGTGGTATACAATGCTAATGCTTAAGAATTGTAAAATAACATTCTAGTTGTGGCAGCAGGTCCTATATCTGGTTGAAATACAAACTAGGCTCTTAGAGTAATATCCCGAGAACACCAAACTGGAAACATTAAGAGCGCTTACTCGAAAAATACCAATTTGGAAGTAGTACAGTACTGGATAGCAAAAACCATCCATTTTTTTTTTTTAGGGTGCCAAATTTGAGAATTTTATAACAATTCTAATTGGCTAATTTTTGTGTAACAAAATTTTGATTGGTTAAAAATATGAAACTGATTTTTTTATATAATAAGCGCTAAATTTTGGATTTTTAATAATAAATATTAACCAATCAAATCACAAGCACATGTTTTGCATCAATCTTATTGGTTGATTGTCCTGCGCCAAATTTTTGCTTTACTATTAAAGTTGCTAAACTTTAAACTCTTATAACTTCTTTAAAAAGCAAGATATCAAAAATCTGTTTTACAGATTTGTAGTTTAGATTACAAATAA